CCGTGGAAGGGGAAACCAGCAGGAGTTTTTGGCTGTTGAATAGCTGTCTGTGAGTCACTCTGAATATACAAGGGGCAAGACAGAAGAGAGGAAGAAAAGGCAAGAAATCAACAGGTGACACATGCCAATGCACACGTAGGTCACATCAAGCAAGAAAAATAGTGACACTGCTCTGAATACATGCTTCCTATTTCCTTCCTCCAGGAGAATCAGGGTGATGAGGATGGTCAGCAGTTTCTGGATGGGCAAGAGACTGTAGCATTAATGTCTGCAAATGGGCATCTTGGAAGCTGCTGGATTTAGTACTGGTAATGAAGATCCCCCTGAGCAAACTATTCTCCAAATGATGCTGGGGACCAGTGCAGGCAAGGAACAGAGCCAACATCTATTTCTGCCTATCAAAAGCAAACAAGCAAACACACACACCAAGATTGCTGTGATTTTCAAAGAAAATTACCAAAGGACAAAACTTGCTTAACTGCCATAAATTATAAAAGCCTCCCTCAATGTTGGTTAATTCTCTTGTAAAAAGGGAGGGAAAAATCCGGAGCAGCTCAGCATGAAAACAATTGTGGGAGGGATAATGAAGAGTTGGCACTAAGGTATCTAGTTGCTAGCCCTGATATCATTAAGTAAGTTCACTAGAAATGTTGAGGTAAATGCATAGCAGTGAATCACAGTCAGGCATGATTAACCTTGGGTAGTATGAACTGGAAATCATTTACAAACACAAAGGTACTGAAGAACATCACAACAGACAGTACATCGAAAGTCATCCCAACAGCAGGAGTTTTGCCAAGAGCTTTGTGTATTTGTGCCACTTTTTAATTATTGTCATATTTTGCACAAAGGAGGATATAAGATCACAGACCCCCAGTGTGGGTAGGAGTTTCTATGGCACCACAAGGTCCTCTGAAACATGAGCACTGGTTGGAATCACTTTTCCTTGCACAGAAGTTTTATAAAATTAGAAGTTTTAGTTGTAACGTTCCAAGGTTTACTGAAAGTACTTTTTTTTTTTTTTTTTTGCCAAAGAAAGACTAAAATCCTGTATCTGTATATATGAAAGAACAAAAGAGTACTCTTTCTTCATCCCTCCCCCACTCCTTAGTGCAGCCCTTCAGATTATAGCTGGTAAAACAGGGGTAGAAATGATTTTAATAAAAATTAGGTGTTTGTAACAAAATCTGTGAAAATTTTCTGACCGTTGAAAATTGAACCTTTTATCACAAAACCAAAAGAACAAAACATTGCTGGATATTCCGAACAGTCCTAAAAGTTTAGAAAACGTCAGTGAAGCTGTAACCAGATGACCCATAGAGAGCTGTATATATTGAGTACAACAACAACAAAAAAAAAACCTTCAAATCCAGCACTATTGTGGCTTTAAAAGCATTCAATTACAAGGAACATGAATCAACTGGGGAAGACTCCAGACAGCTTAACACCTTTGTATTGTTTGCACCTTTTATTGCAATTCTTCAGTGCCAGCTCAGGCAATTATTGTGCATGCTGAGGCAGTGAAGGCCAAAGGAATACCATGCAAAAGGATGGAGCTCTGCTCAGACTTCCTCCCTGCTTTTGCATCATGCTCGTTCTCCTACATCCATCTCAGTTATCTCTAGCATTGTAATAACTGCCCTTATTTATCTGCCTCATTAGGATGCTGCATCAATTAATGGGTATCATCTAATGCATACCAGTTTCTTAATGTTTAATATTATTATCAGTGGAAAGCTATGTCATATTGAGTCTATCTAGGGAGTTAACACATACAGAAAAAAGCCCCTATGAATAATGCTATTCAGAATGACGCGGTTACCATACTCAAACCCCCTCAAACAGATCACCACATATCCTGCATGCTAGGTTTCTGTATTCTTGGGGGTTACAGGTAGCAGCTCCGACCCCAGGGCTCCAGGTCACAGGGTTATATCTGGTTTTGAGGACCTAGAGCCTGAAGGACAAGGCAGGAGGAACATCTTGAGGGGAGACTTCATGTAAATGCTCGGTTCACAAGTGCTTTGCTGCCTGATTCAGGAGGGTAATCAACCTGTCCTTTGAAGCTGCATAAATAATATTTGGATGGAGGTAATAAATCTGCACCAGGGATGAATTAACTGCCATTGAGTCATATAAGCTTGGCTTGAGTGTGTGGCTTGTAACATGCCTGAGGAAAATAAAAAAGACATTTGCAAGAAAGAAACATTAATTTGCTCCTCCCTGTCTTTTCTGTTATTTTTATCTAGGCCTATATGATTTGCTTTGTGTTTTTTGGGTTTTTTTTTTTTTTTTTTTTTTTTTTGGTTTTTTTTTTTTTTTTGTTGTTGTTGCTGTTTGTTACATTTTCACAAGGAAACACTGATTCAGTGAAACAAATCCACAGTTTCTCCTGGTCAGGCACAAATATGCCACCTCTCCTATATCAACGTCGCTCTTTTTTGGCACCCCTGCCAGAAGATGCCAACCGGACTCCTTCAACACTCTCAAGGGAGTGACACCTTGTAAGAGGGTGCAGGCTTTTTTACACCACGGGGACCCCTGGCAGTGTTCGTGCCCCCTTGCACACCTTCCCCCTTGCATACCACCTCCAGCTCCCGGCTGCAGGACTGGTCACTGAAGGGGCTCTCGTCCAGCGGCACGATGGCCTGGTCTTTTCCATGTACACAGGGGAAGAGTACATCCACTACTGTAGAGGGACCCAGGAACACGTGCTCATGCATCCATGTGTATGTGTGCACTACAGGTTCTTCTGGTTGTGCACCTCGTGTGCAGGTGTGAGCTGCTACATCCCCAAAACAACAGAGAAAGTCTGTATTCACGACTGCCTGAGAACCAGGGGTAAAAGTCTGTCCCAGAAGAAGGTGGAAAAGAGAAGAAACCCAAGCAAGGCCAACAGAAGGTAGCAGCAAGAGAACTGGGATCTCGGTGTGTGCCTACATGTCATCCTGAGTTAATTTACCTCACTGAAACACTCAGGTATTCAGCCCTCTATTCAATGACATACACATTTTAGTTTACTAATAGCTTTTGATTGTATTGTTCTCCCTTTTTTCTCATTTCCAGTGTTTGACCTCTCTATTTCTCTGCCATGGCTCATAGTTTTGCACCTCTTTCTGAAAATTTGGCACTTGTAGTTCTTTTTTTTCCGTCTTAGCTGTATCCTTCTAATTTTCTTTCTCCTCTTTTGGCACAGCACTTGCTGGTTCCCTTCCTCTCATCTCCTTTCTCTCCTGCCTCCTTTCCACACCAACAATTTCTCTAACTAGAGGGGCCTCTGCTTCTTGAACACAGTCATTTATCAGTGGTAGTCAGTTGTTTCTACTTCTAAAAATTGTTCTGGGAACCAATACCTGCTGTGGGGTAGCCTTAGCATATAGTAACAATTTAAACATAAGCATTATAAATATACTATATCTAGTAGACAGTACAGTTTCAGAAGGTTGTAATAAGCTCTCTTATTAGGCAAGGAACTTTTCACAACTAACCAGATTCTGAAGTCTGCTGTATCTAATACAGCATACTATATGACACAGTATATAGTCTCAAACCAAAACCATAAACTTATTGGGGCATATTTCTGAACCCATATTCTGGGTTCAGAGATACTCCTATTATGGGTTTAGAAATCTTACGGGATTTTAATCCGATGAAGGAGAAGAAAGGCAAGTAAAGAACATTCCTCATGAATAAAATATCATCTAATTAGAAAAACCACTTTGGAGGATGGCTTATGTTTTACATATCAGCAAAAATAAATGTGTTCATTTCTCCAAAATACCTCCAGATGGCATTAAAACTCTTCTTCTTTTGGTCTTTATTGCGATATTATTTTTTAAAATTATAATTATTGGAATCATTCTATTAACCATTCTCAGCAATCATACTATCAGAAGGCATAAGGCTGCTAATGCTTAATTCATTTAATAAGTTGGGCTAAATATGCTCACATACTGTAATTACATTCCACAACACAATCTGCAGGACAAGCCATTTCTTACACCATGTCAAATCTTCTTCTAGATTCATTTCCAGAAGATTTTTAATGCGTATTTGCAGCAGAAATCAAAACATCCCACAATAAATCATCGTTATTGTACCTCCTTCTGTGACTACTTTTGGCCATGTAACAAATGGTGACACCTTGTGAGATTTACATGATTTAATGCTATGAATTTAAATAACAGGAATCAGAAAACATAAATTATGGGCAAGATGCACTCTAAAATTCACATGACTGACTGTTACAAGAACTTCCCTCCCTCAAATGGGATTAAAAAGGTGAATGGTTTTGCAGAAATTCATAATGCTCCTGCCTAGGTATCTAGCTCAGTTTGGAAGACTGATGATATTTATTTTTCTTTTTTTTTTTTTTAACTTGCAGCCCATCTGTTTCATAGACTGGTTTATGTTGGCAAAACAATTCAGTCCTTTGTATACTAGAGTTAAAAATGGTTAAAGCTTCTATTGTTGCACTAGAGTGAAGGTGAACACTGATATATTACAAGTGCCTGTTCCTATCTATTTCTCGACTTCTTTTGTTAATTCAAAAACATCAACAAAATCGTGAGAGACCAGAGATAGCTGTAATTGGATTTCAAGTAATTCAGAGGTGAAGCTGCAGACTGCAGTCTTTTAAAATTACATCAGTACATCAAAGGCATACGTGACATGATGTTTTTTAGCAAGTGTGACAAACTCCAGCAGCATTAAGGTAATGCCAAAGTCAGGTTGTAAAGGCCAGCCTCGCACACCCACAAAAATTATCTCATATCTATTCAGCGTGATATGGAGCCATTTCACTTGTAAAGATCTCTGACTTACTAGCATGAAAAAGTTCTAGGAATAATTAATGTTTAGTCATTATCTAAAAAGATGTTTTAAGAAAAGCATCAGTGAAAGAGCTTTATCTTAATGAAAACAAACAAATTCTATTGTGCCCAACAAATCTGGTAAAAACATAGCTGCCCTCTCCAATCTTAAACACAGAAGTGACTTACGATGTATGGGCTGCGCTTTTCTCTGGACTCTTTGGCTCTACATCACTTTTCCCTTTAAAAGAGAAGAAGAACATGACATCAGAAATGGGTCAATATGGAAATTGCTCAGATGTAACACATCAATGCTTTATTCATTGCTAACACTGGCCACTCTTGCTCCACGTGCAGACTGCTGCCAAGGCAGCCACAGGGCTGCGAGGCATTGCTGGAGCATTTGCAATCTGGGAGTCAACCTTGACTTGCCTTTTCTTGTCGCTGCCACATGTACTCTAGAAATGTCAGGCAAGGAAACTCCACAAGACAGGCTGCTTAGAGGACATAAGCTTTACCAGGGATAGCATACCCTGGAGCAATAGAAAATATTTCTCTAGGGCCCTACAGCTCTGCTATTGAGAGTATGCCCCATCCAACATGCATATGCTCCAAAACCCTGCTCCAAGAACAGTAATTATTTCATACAAAGCAAAAAAGCACCAGCAGGATCTAGTAAGGCACAGATTAGGACACAGTTCTGCCAATAGATGTTTTGGTTTACATTTATTTTGACAGTTTAAGGATCTGATCTTCAGCTCCTGTAAGTGGGGGCTGGGAAGCCCTTTTTGTTATGTTGCATATTTTGGCTTAGGTACTCAACCCCAGGAGAAGTCAGGTACCCAAAAGCTTGAGGAGTATCAGAGGCCCAAGGGATGCTTCTCTCTACATTTCCTTATGACTCACATGGGTCACATAGCATGTTGGCTTCTGATGATCCCCTTCTTGGGTCCAAAATCATCTATCTGCCCAACACAACTTAGTTACATAGCACAGACACTGGGGAAGCAGGCTGCTAGCTGATGGGGTGGTGCTGCTTCTGCTGCTAAGTCAGGCCAAGTCTTTCTCCTTCCTTTCTCTGCCCCCCACAAAAAGTAAGGCTGATGTTGTTTACTGTAATTATTGCTCTCTCAGTAACCTGAAAGAGCTGCACTTCAGTGTAAGATTTTTGTTTAGCTCTACCATGGATGCACAGGGTATGCCACTACACTTGAATCACCTTGAATTCTGGACCTAGTGACTTTGCAGCTGCTGCTCCATTTGTGTGTTGCTGGATGCTAAAAGTGTCTACACATGAGTTTATGTTGCCTAGCAGAAAAGGAGGCTCAGAGGTTGAGTGTGACTAGTTTACTGATGGATGTGTTTTTCTCCATTACCTTTCAATGACCTTTGTTAAACCAAAATCCACCTGTGCCTTCTGAAAAAAAAATGTGAGAAGTGCTTATTTTGGTCAGGCTGTTTTGGTGTTGAATGATTTTCTGCTCATTGACTTGAGTTGAGTGGGTTATGGATCAGCCCCCAATCTATTCCATGCACATGAGCATTACGTATCAATCATCTGCTGCAGACAAAGTCCTTACCCTCAGTTTCCATACAGCATTGGGGTGCCAGCAACAGCTGTAAGTAGCACCTCTGGAAAACTTGCTGTTGCCTTCAGAAGAGGCAGGAGTTTTCTACCGGTGTCATTCCACTGCTGTACAGAAGCAAGCCGAAGGACTTACTCTAGACAGTGACCTTCTGGAAGCGGACACGTGTCCTGTAGAGGAGGTTCTGAGTATTGCAAACACCTTGCCATGGTGCTTTTGGATCTCTCTTCCCAACTGAGGTGCCTAAACTTTAGTGAACAGGGTGGGGGAAGCTCTGAATGACTTCAAAAACATTGATGTCTCTCTGTGGACTTCAAGGAAAGCCAAACACTAACTGAAGGACAGCTAAAGGCACCTAAAATTTAGGTACGAGCAGGGAATCCACACAGGATGGAATACATCCGCTCCATAATCTCTAGGTCACTTTTTTAGCGGAGAGCTCAGAAAGCATATGCAGATGATGAACTCGCTGGCTAGAAAGCTGTTGCTACAGTATACGTTTGTCAGCCTCAGGGTGCCTGGAGCACTGGAGCTCATCTGCATTATGGTAATTTGGAACAAGAAACCAACAGTAACAGTTGGCATATATTCAAAGATTTTCTCTTCACAAGTCGGGCTTTTTATAAGTGATGAATTATTTCCAGAAATACTGGTTTGTTTGAGTGTGAGAGGGACTATGGATTCCTGAGTGCTTTGCCAGTAGAGTTCACATCAGTTCTACTTTCAGCAATGTATGTTAATGTAGCAACACGGGAAAGAGTGTAAGTACTGTGAGGAGAGAGAAAAGGGAATCTCTGTGATTTAGCCAAACTGGATATTAATGAATTACCCTACAGTAAGCATTTGCAGCTGCTTTTATGCTAATCGTCACTTAACATACTTCTGTGTGGGGGGCGAGGACAAAGCCTGTACAGATGGTAGAACCACAGCAGTCCAGTCTATCAGAGTAGAAAATCAGGCCATTAATGCTTTATCAGTTCTTACCAACTTTGTTCTCACTTGACTGAATCATAGAAATTTTTAAAATGTGTATAGGTTAAGCATAGTTGAATGCCACAGGTACAGTACAGATAAGATTTTTGGATAAGCATATGGAAAAGAGAATTACTTGTCAGAACAACTTGTTTTTATCACACTCTTGGCCAGACTGAGATTTGTTTTCCATTTTCCATGTAACCTGCTAAATGCATGCATCGTGGGAGTCTGTCATTTGCCAAATTGCTAAATCTTCTCTATCTCTGGCTTCTTATGGGTAGATTTGTGTAATCCTTTGTTTTACTTAAGTCTTTTTGGAATTGATAAAGAATATGCTACCCACCTTGCTATGGGACTGATGTTTAGCACACTTTATTTCAGGTGGTAAGCACTGTGCATGTCTCCTGAAATGGGTGTGGACGTGTGTCTGTGTGTGTCTGTGTGTTGGTGTGTGTATGCATACACATGCCTCCAGAAACACATGATGGAAACCACCAGTCCTCAGATCCTTAGCCAAGGAACTGCGAGTTCCTTGCTAGCTTCTACCTCATCTCACACAACATCTTTCCTTATCTTTTTAGATACAACCAGAGGAGATGTGTCCAGATTCTTCCTGCTTCAGAATAAATTTCAAATGAACTTCTGTAGGATTTCCTCTTTGAATAGTAGGTGGTCAGAGAAGGAGTTCTGTCTTCTGAGTTGGAATTTGGGTGAATCACTCAACCTAACTAGGCTAAGTTTCCCTTTCTGGGTAACAGAGATAAACAATATTTACTGTGACAGAGCAGTATAACTTCAGTCGTTATAGGTTTTTAAATGCTTTTATTTCCTTGTGCAGGAAGGATGAGAGAAATGGAAATGTTATCCATGAGAAAGACAATGTTTGCATATGGAGTAAAACCATTGCAAACGACAGGCTTAAGAGCCTCTCCAAAGAAGGCAAGGTGCAATGGGAAATAATTGGGACTCTGAAGATGTGCATTTGGGTAACACAGTACACAGACCACTAGATTTCTTTCCTACATAATGTCATTCGCTAGCATTTATTCATATCCTGTATTGGGTTTGCATGGTATGGTCTTGGTAGCGGGAGGGGCATGGGTTGGCTTCTGTGAGAAGCTGCTAGAAGTCCCCTATGTCTGACAGAGCCAGTTCCACCCCCTTCAAGATGGACCCGCCGCTGGACAACGCCAATCCCATCAGTGACGGTGATAGTGCCACTGTGATAATGTATTGAAGAAGGGGCAAAAACAACCAAACCAGCAACAGCAGCTGGGAGAACGGAGTGAGAACATGTGAGAGAAACAACTCTGCAGGCACCAAGGCCAGTGAAGAAGGAGGGGGCGGGGGTGCTTCAGGCAGCGGAGCAGAGATTCCCCTGCGGCCCGTGGGGAAGCCCATGGTGGGGCAGGCTGTGCCCCTGCGGCCCATGGGGGTCTGTGGTGGAGCAGATCCCCACCTGCAGCCTGTGGAGGACCCCACGCCGGAGCAGGGGGGTGCCCAAAGGAGGCTGTGCCCCCGTGGGAAGCCCACGCTGGAGCAGGCTCCTGGCAGGATCTGGAGACCCATGGAGAGAGGAGCCCACGCTGGAGCAGGTTTGACAGCAGGACTTGTGACCCTGTGGGGGACCCACGCTGGAGCAGTCTGCTCCTGAAGGACTGTGACCCATGGAAGGGACCCACGCTGGAGCAGTCTGCTCCTGAAGGTCTGTGACCCATGGAAGGGACCCACGCTGGAGCAGTTAATGAAGAACTGCAGCCCATGGGAAGGACTCATGTTGGAGAAGTTCGTGGAGGACTGTCTCCTGTGGGAGGGACCCCATGCTAGATCAGGGGAAGAGTGTGAGAAGTCATCCCCCTGAGGAGGAAGGAGCAACAGAGACAGTGAGTGATGAACTGACCACAATCCCCATTCCCCATCCCCCTGGGAGGAAGGAGGTAGAAAAATCGGGAGTAAAGTTAAGCCTGGGAAGAAGGGAGGGGTGGGGGAAAGGTGTTTTTAAGATTTGGTTTTATTTCTCATTATCCTACCCTGATTTGATTGGTAATAAATTTAGTTAATCTCCCCAAGTTGAGTCTGTTTTGCCCATGACCGCAATTGGTGAGTGATCTTCCTTGTCCTTACCTTGACCCATGAGCCTTTTGTTTTATTTCCTCTCTCCCTGTTCAGCTGAGGAGTGGAGTGATAGGGCGGCTGTCGTGGGCACCTGACATCCAGCCAGGGTCAACCCACCACACATTTCAATCTATTTTTCCAGAATTTCCTTTGAGTTTGACATACAGGACTGGTTAGGTCTGTTTCATTTTAAATGTGTTTTATTTGATGTCTTATTCCATCACGTCAACAGGAATCCTCACGGATACAGGTCTCAGAGGTAGTCAAATTCCTTCTACAATGTTAGGAAAAGTGTCTGGGTGCCTGACAGCAACCCTAACTCTTGCCACTGATGAAGAAAAGGTTTCTGTGTGCGTTCAAGCTGTTCTTTGGTTTGGTTGCCATCAGCCATACAGTACCAAGTACAGCTCCAGCCCAGATACAAATATATGCTGATTTTGCTGAGAAGAATGAGTGAGAAGGTAAGAAGAAGCAGGAGGTACTGTGGTGTGGGAGGGCAGAGGGGGAACTGGAAGTAAAGTGGGGTCAGAGACCACTGCAGTAAGGAGCAGAGGAAAGTTGAAAGGAGGTAGGACCAATTTCCTAATCCACAGGAAAGCAGGTTTCATTAGATCTGCAGAACAACCTATTTTATTTGAGTGTTGAAAGAAGGAAATACTCAAAATGAAACTATGACCAAAGCAGGCCAAACACTGTGGCCTCTGATGTCATCGTGAAGCCCTCAGCTCAGCTGGTGTGTTTGTCATGCTTGTGACTCTGCATGTGTTTGCATAGCCCTCTCTATTATGGCCCTTTTGTGCTTCCTTCTCTCATTACTGCATTCATTATCTTCTGACAGAATCTCATCCCTTTTGCCTTTTATTATTTCCTTAGTGCTGGTACTCGCAGCAATATCAAACCAATGCCAGCAATTAAGTGACACCACTGCATGTTTCTTCACAACATCGTCTTCCATGAGCTGACCCTTCCCCAGCAAAGAGCCACACTGTTTTAATAGCCTACATCTCCCAGTCTTGTCTCTCTGGATGTCTTCTCCCTCGCATAGTGGGTGATCAGCCACTTTCAAAGCCCTACCTACCAGCTCAGGGCACTTTTCATCTTCAGTCACAGCCCTGTAATTTGCAAACAGGGCTCTGTGCTGGCTGACAGGTAGGGAAGATAGTAAAATAGTTATTTTGGTTGAGATTGTTCTATGTTGAGAGCAGGACAGGATCATGTATTTTTAATATGCAAGACAACATTAACAACAGAGATGTCAGGGGAGAGGATTAATATTTGGTTTCTCAGAACAATTCCATATTTTCTTTCAATACAGCTGCTAAGTTTTTTACCATAACTAAATGCAATTAAAGTGCTGCTGATCTGCACCATGATTTGTAAATTGGAGTCCATTGAAAATCCCCTAACCAGAAGCTACACAAGCATACATCACTCCCCTGCCCACACTGCTAGCCAAAAAGGCCCATGGCCATATGGTCTTTGAGACATTATCTGGTGTTAGTTTGGCAGGATTTATGTAGCTTATTACTGTGCAATAGCCACAAAATATACCATTGCCTATGAAAGACAAATGATAACAAGTCTTCCTGCAGAATTTTCTGTCAGTCTGGATCTGGCCATGCAACTAGGTCAGCTCTTTTTTGGCTTTCTAAAAAAGCCACTCTTTTGCCCTTTCAGTCTTTCTCATCTACGCAATGAAATGGCCATAACAAAATGAAACCTTTTTCCTCTTTCCAGTCCAGAAAAAGAGCTGGCATTTTGACAGTTGCTCTTCAATTCAGTTCTCCACATTTGGCCATAGCAGAGTACTGCTGAGGCTCTGCACTGTCCCAGTCTGCTACTGGTTCCTTACCCTATCAATCACTTGGTATTCATAGTCATTGTCATCCCCTCCACCTAATGCAGCCAGGAAATGAGTTGGTACTTACTTGTATTGCTGTGTCCTGCAGATCCCTGTTGTGACTCCTACAGTAATAACAGAAAAAAAAGGTACTGTGTGTTAGTTTTATGGCAATTTTTGGCTGCAATACTTGCTTGAACATTACCTTAACAGCATTGTTAATTGTTCATTCAATTTCGAAGTAATTTTCAATTGCAAGAATAAATCTAGTATTTCTTTGAAAATCCATTAATTCTAAGGCTTGTAAACTTATTTCACAACAACACTTTAATGGTGCAATTCCTTGTATAGCTATGATGACTCTCCTGCTCACTATTCATTTATTGATCAGCCAAAACTTGTCTATTATCTTCTACAAGTTTAGATGCGAAGACAGAAGGAAGACCGGTATTGTTTCATGGACCATTGGATTCCTGAGGTAGTAGCACAGCTGGTCTTTCCCTTTCACATGTTGATATTGACAGCACTGGAAAATGGAAATACAGACTCTAGTTCTGGGCCCGCAAGATTACAAGGTCAATGTTGTATCACATCCCCAATATCTGTGAAAACAGCGTAATAAATTAGACCATTTTTAACTCACATGTAAATGTTCATGTATTTTACTCACAGAATTGTTTGGCGTTCATAAAAATATAAAAGAAGCCTATAAACAGAAGCGAAATACAAATATAAACTATAACAAAAAGATACTTAAATTAAGGGAAAAAAGAACACTTTGCTATAGCTCAGGGCACTTTTCATCTTCAGTCACAGCCCTGTAATTTGCAAACAGGGCTCTGTGCTGGCTGACAGGTAGGGAAGATAGTAAAATAGTTATTTTGGTTGGGGGGAAGGTATCCTGTAAGCATCTGCTTCTGAATAACCCGGACACTCACAGGAATACCACTTCATATACATGATGCAGTTACAACTGCAGTAAAGACTGCTCAGAGGTGCCAGGCACCCACAGCAGCACACAGAGTCATTTTTGGTGAAGAACTGGGCACTGGACCAGATTCCTGGTCCACAGAGGCTGAGTGATAAGCCAAATGCACAGCTCATCACAAAAGCAACTGCAAGTCCCCAGAGAGCTCACGGATGCTCCGAGTTGGCTGAGCTGAGATTTTGCTGCTGAGTCATTCAAAAGCATGCCTCAGGGGCTCGGGGTCCCAAGAATTTCTTGGCATCTCTAAATGGAGGTTGGCTGGACTGCAGGCACTGGGGGCTCGAGGGCTCGGCTTGTCAAATCCCCTCGATCTGTACCATTTTCTCTGGAGTCAAGGCTCTCCAGACTGCATAGCTTTGATCTGTAATTTTTATGCTATAATACACATCTGCAATTCACTGCCATCCTATGCACCTCAAATGTGAGACATCAAATTTTGGGGCAAGTCCTAAGAGTTTCTACTTTTAACTGCAGTATGAAAAGATCTGTACTGTGTTTCACAATAATTTCCGAATAATTTGAAATTGTCTACTTTTGACAAATTGCCTCAGCTTTTTGTGAATGCTTCTGATGAAGGTATATTAAAGCCTGGATTTTTTTCTGGTGACTGAATATAATCTTAAGAAGTCAGAATCAGCTTGCAGTGATGATGTAGTGACATGTACACTTTAATTTAAATGCTATTCTAGTAGCCAACCAGGCTTCCAATAAAAGTAGGTGATTAGAGCATGTTCAGCTTCCAGAATAGTGAATTTATGTCCCTAGAGAAGTTTTGGGGAATACAATAATTTTGATGAAAATACCCTCAGGTTTGTAAAAATGTTTGAAACTGCTAAACAAGGATCTCACTCACTCTTTTACATTTTCATCATCCTCAGAAAGGATGCACTTTCCTCTTTAACTGCCTAGCACAGTGTCTTACCTCTGCCATTGGCTCTGCATAGTCTCAAATTTGACATCAGCAAAACAAATGAGCTATAACATTTTCACTTTTCCTTTTAACCAATTCTTTAAAATTAGTGTCTTGATTCTCAACAAATTACTCTTAATAATAAAGTCTAATACAAAAATCTCATACTGAAATAAAGAATGCTCAAGTAGCAAAGAAGTATGACTTTGTGTAACTGAAAAAAAATGAAAAAAAAAAGAAGTCTTCACTTCTGGAGATTATTTTCTAGTGCATTTGCTCCAGCTTGTTAAAATCAACAAGAAAGCAAAAAGTAAATGAATTGAGCATGTAAAGAATAACACCACTATGATAATTTAGCTTCTTCTGAGAATAACCACCCAGTAGCTTTTGTGTCAAGACACCAGTTCTCCTGGAGTGGGTAAATTAATTCTCAAATAAAATGATGGCTGATCCCATATCACATGCATATAACTAGAAATCAAACACCTGATCAGACTTCCAAGACATGAAATCACAGTAGAAATGAAGAAAGAGAGCAAAGCAGGCAGTAGAATTAACAGCATTTTTTTTCCTACAGAAGAGAATTAATGCCCAAACATGAAAGCTCATTCACACAAGCATTAAGTGAGCTCTTATTTACCAAATTTAATTATTCATTTAAAGTTTATTTATTAAGACATTTTAAATAAAATTACAATCAAATAATGCCTGATCATTTGTATGTAACAAAATGTGACAGAGACAGAAGAAAGCACACACAGCCTGTTACATCACACACTGATTAAATTATCCTTAAGCTTTGAAAAACAAGAAGAGACTGTCATTGCCCCTTTCTAGTAAATTCAAGAGTACAAATTAATTCCACAGAGAAAACAAAATCAAAGTTAAGGATGAAATGTAACTTTATGCCCTCTATTACATAAAGGACAGTTCCCTAAATGTGCTCTCCCAGCAGTGTTGTGCTGGGAAACCTACTGAGCACTGCTGCACGTGTCAAACCTGACCTGGACTTTCCTTACATTTTTGTGCATTAAAGCAGACCTCCCATATTAATGATGTCTAATTCATATACAGGTACAGCATATGCACATACATCCCCCCCCATCCACTGAGCATATAGTTGTATAGATGGACACATCTATACAACTATACGCAGATTCAAATATGCAATTCTGTTATATTTGTGATTCATAAACCTCAGTTATTTAGCTTTTATTACTAGACTGATTTCAAAACCAGTCTCGTTATAGTTGCTGTGGCCTTTGCAACTTTAGTAGCCTAATTAATAAATTTCAAGTTTTAAGCTGTCAGATCACTAATTACTTGAATTGCAGGTTAAAAGCGGTGTGGCATGTATGGGAATTAACGATGCTGACACTCAGCTTTTATAGACAGAAAAGTAAGGATGATTTGCATCCTTGCAACAGGGCATGAGTCCTACAAGCTTCTTTTTCTTTCTCATTCCCAGAAGGATGAGTATCTTTACACTTTGGAACTGTCTTCTGTTAAAAAGGATTGTAGCCTACTTGCTTCTCTGGCTGGAAGAGTCATATCAAATGAACTGAACTGATCTCTCACACTGCCATAAAGACTGAAAATGAATTCATGGTGCCATGCATTGCTTGGAATTAAGAGATGAAGCCAATGCCCTGAATTTAGCCTTTTAGTCTCTTTGCTGGCCTTGGCACCACTTAACTGACAGGACCATTTATCTGAATAATGTGAGATCCACAACAGTTTGGTGTAGGCCTTTAGATTTTAACAAGATGGGACAGCTACATAGCTTACCTGTGGGAAAGCTCCGTAAGAGTTATGGAGACATCCCCTATGAGATCCAATAAGGGTTTTACACCACACTTTGTGAAAAGCAATAGCTAGCTTACGAATGTTTCAAAGACATATTTGAAAAATTAGGAAACCATTCTTTGCATTTTGAAGCCTGAAAAGCAGATGCCTTCTAAAGTCTGTGACTGTATAGGTTCAGAGTAAGACACAGAAGTAACTTTTAATTACTTCTAAATATTTTAAAATAAAAGTGATGTCTAAAATTAACATAATCTATGGGCAGTAATGCAAAATTTTTCCAGGACTCTGGTGAGTTTTGTTAGGTACTTCTTCCCCATCTCACACAAAGCACTCTAATTTCTGACCATACAGACCACCCAGGCCACAATACAATTGTGAAGTTATATGTACAAAAGTATGCTCATATGTTAGTAGAATGTAATCTTGTTCATCCTAAGCTTAAATGAAATGGAAAAATCTACTTTGGTAAGAGAAAAGGTAATCACCTAGGAAAAGGCTCTTTAAAAATGAAGGGTAGATCTCTGAAACAGCTCTGCAGTTCTATTAGAATATTTCCCAGAGAGATGGATAAACAGGCAAAGAGAAGATGAGAAAGTCAATATCAACCATTATTCGCATATCTTTGCCCTGTGGTCTGTGGTTCTCCTTTTATTATATTTATCACAACGCATTTAGTTGGGAAGAAGTGCATTCATGATGGCCACACAGATATGCCAACAGGTACGTATCTTGCCCATGCCCATCTGAGCATGTGCCATGCAAACACATCACGTGGTGATAATTATGGCAGAAACTGCAGAACGGCAAGCACCACTTTGGTTTTGTCATCCACATCTGGGCACTTCACCTGCCCGTAAGCTGCTGATCCATCTATCTCCTACTAGACTTACTCTAATGTAACAAGCCTCTAGATCGCCTGCCATCTTCAATCAGCTGTCTGCCTTCAATGAGCAAATAGACAGTGAGTTATTTCCTTCTTTTTCTTTCATAACATGCCAGAGATGTTTTGGTTTACACCCCTGGTACTTCAAAATCATGACATTCTCATCCACGGAAAAGCTGTTTTACTGTAGGCAAATCTTGAAGGTTTCTTGGCTTTGTGGTTATAATTATTCCCTGCACTAGATTTTGCAGAATGGACTTAAAAGTTACCAAAGGAGCTTGCTTTAACAGGAGAAAGACTATAAACAGCATCAATACCATCTTTCAAGCTTGAACACTTCATGAAATATGCCTGTGGCATATAAACAGTATATGGTGATACAATGTGAAATTTTTATTGGCTGTTGCATAGGATAGCTGATTTAATTCCCTCCTGACTTACCATGTATAAATAATGTGGTTTCCCCCAAGCTTATGCTGATGAGCTTTGCCATGCTGCACTACATCCTCCCTGAGATACATGTACAATAGTGGAGTGGGTTTCAAGGGACCATCGGCAGGACCGGTGGCCTTGGTCCCTTGAGGGACCAAATACTTCCCTGGATAATATTTCTGTGGCCCAGCTGGGCATCATGGCACTGGGCTGCCTGCCTGTCTAGCAAAGCTGCCCCTGAAGACAGGTTGGTGGCAGGGGATGTATGCCTACTCCTCAGCCCCTGACTGAAGAGGCCACTGTATTAGTAAAGCCCACGTCAGACTTCAATTGTTTCAACACAAATGTTGGCTACAGAAGCCAAATGAAGCAGGAACAATAGATGAGAGCAGAAGCTTCCTGACTCTCAGCAGCTGTACGTGCCCTGAGGTATCAGTCAGGAGCCACTGGAGGTACACGCAGATGGCACCACATCAGGACAGCCCACCAAGGACACCTGTGGCTTTGCCTTGTGGTGAGGAACCTGTGACCCACACACCAGCATCAGTGCTGCTGCCAGGAGATAAGCAAAAAACACCATGTAACCCTGCAGAGACTGTAAACAGGGAAAAGGCAGGGGACACTGGCACACACATGGAGAAAGACATCAGCACGCCATCAACCTCAGCCCAGAGACCTCACATGCTTAGGTAGGGCTCACATTGGACATATTTTGATGTGCAAAAGGCACAGTTGTACATGATGTTGCATGTCTTACCTTGTTTGGGAAGGAAAACTTGCTTTGTTCTGCCTTTCCTGGTGTGTGAATAGCTGACAGTGGTGGTGGCCATGAATGGGTCATCTCCTGAAAAACAATATTGTACAGCAAACTGTGTTTAGGAAGTTAATGGAATAGGAGATAATGATAGTACATCAGTGGAAAGAGTGCCTGGGTAGTGGAATAATTAAGTTACTGCTGCTTCTAGAAGATGCCCAGTTCACATATAATCTAGACAATACATGAACTACATTGATTTTTATCACAGACTCTTGAGAGTACTTCTTAAGCACAGTTTTATTTTCCAGAATAGTTAACGTCTCTTAAGTGCAATAAATTTGATTTTTCTGATAATCTGCAACCACATTTTAATCATGAAATATATACTGGCTGGTGAGACTAACAAAAGAACTTTTTTTTGTAGTATGAAAGCAGAAATGTCAGTTCATGACCAAGACATGAGGTACACACTATGGACTAATCATGAAATAGATTTCATAGACAAAGTCAGAATGATAAATGCTTAACACTTGCTGAATGGTTAATTCCTAAAATTGCCCTTTTCATTGTAAAGGAGTTGAATAAGTTCCTAACTGAGATGTGTTTGTGCCTTGCAGGACACAGACATGTGGCAAGCCCTAAACAATGAGTGCTGCACTTCACCTTTGTCTCCTCCATGGTGTTTTGAAGGACATTTTTTAGTAGCTGAGACATATGTGGCTTGGCTTGACTTGTATGCAGTTATTCTTGATGTAGCAGGTAGACACACATTCAGTACCATTATCATTCAAGCCTGAATGAATTGGCCTCCAAAACAAGGCTGCTTTTGGGGGGGTATAAATTAAACACTTCAGACAAGAAGTTTTTTAAGAGAGAGGCTTCATATTCCTCTCTAGTGCAGGCTGTTAAAGGATGGACATGTTTTTTGACATGTTCAGCACCAGCAGCCATAATATTTGGCACGCAGTAACTTAACAATTAATATGAGAAGCAGCGTGGAGCATGACAACCCTGAAGAGTTGGTCCATAAGTTTCATGAGCTGAAGAGCAAATAACATCCTGCCTAAGCAGGGGGCTTGCTGACACTATCAAGAGTTTGCCTGGCAGATGCTTTGCTGGGTTTTGATACCATTAGCTGACTGTGGAATTGTTTCTTAGTGATATTCCAAGGAGTCGTGCTGAGATCCATGGTCAGTCCCAAAATAATACTGGAGTCATATTTCCATGACTCATTCCTTTTTAAAGAGAAAAGTAAATGTTCTTCTGTGAAAAAAAGTGCGGGTGAGTCTCTTGCCCATCCTTTGTTAGTGCTGATGGAAGTGCTTCCTGACCCAGTAGGGACTGAGCTGGGGCATTTTTTACATAGAGGAAAGTGTCTGGTTGTTCTGTCAATGAAAGGATCAGCTCTTTCAACATAGTTTATTAGTAATAAATGTCACCTTTAAATAATTCTTGATAAACAGTTTATTTTGTAATAAAAACTGCATTCTTCTATTTTATTTGAGGCTAAAAAGTTACATGATTTATTATACTTCTATAATCTATGTGTGTGCCTCTAATCAGAGCATCATTTGTTTTGCAGTTTCAGTATCAGAATTGCTTTGCTTTTCAGTTCTTTGAGGCAGACTGTTCATCTTATGATTTCCTTATCAGATAAGTGCCAGCAATAGCAGTATATAGTAATTTTTAATACACAGTAAATTCTTTAAACTCAGGCAACAAAAAATACCGGCAACCAGATTGTTGTTTGGTAGAAGTACTTGGCACATATGCTATTGTTTTCAAAAGATTAAGGAATTATATATTGATAAATATTCTAACAGTAAATAAATTGACAAAAAGGAGATTTGTAATGTGGACATTTAATCATAAGGCTGTGATCTAAAATATTATCACTTTCTCACTTGCTTTTCTCTGCTTTTCCCTTACAGGACCATTTGCTTACTTTCTAGAAAATGGGATGTTGTGCATATAGACTAAAGGTGTTTCCACCAGTAAAACCCCATTCCCAAACAAACAAAGTGTTTTTCCCTCCAAGTTAAGGTGCTGAGCCCAAAAGTATTCATAGGAATGAACTAAGTGTCCCTTTCTACTGAATGGCAATGCGTGAGGTTATCTCCATCAATTGAAGAATTGGGGCAGCCAGACTGGGAACATCTGGTGGCTTTGACCTGAAGTTATCCTACTTGTGAAATATGCTATTCAGTACTTATGATTTCCATTTGCCCAAGAAGCAGTTCCTCCAGGCTATATGGTGACTGACCTCCACTGTCACCTTTAGGAAAACAACTTCTGAGAAGTATGCTACATGCCATGCACAAACCAATCTGTTACAGCTGCAGAGCTCTTCCCTCCCACCTTGCCTGATCGAGTCCAACAATGATGCTTTCATCCAGGGAAAAGACCACAGGGCTGATTAAAAATAAGGATGACCTTTTTTTTGACATGTCAAAATCTTTCATTTCTTTTTTTCCCAAAGATTATTTCTCATCCACACTTCAATGAAAAATGGCCTTAATGGTCTTTTTTTTTTTTCAGCTAGCTTCTCTTCTCACTTTTTGCTTTGAGTTGTGGTATATAATAAAGCTTTCTACATAATTTAACTTTGACGTAACCCTTTCTGACACAAAGATTTAGTAAGACCACTGATATTTGCCAGGGTTAATAACTGCCATTATCATGAATATCTGAATGTGAATGTACTGGAATAATATTTTGAGTTGTGGTCATATGGCATATTTATCCCTAATCTTTGGAATTCAGACAACTATAAAATGAAATCAAATTAGAAAAAAAAAAAAAATCAGAAAACTAACATGAAAAATACCCCAAACTATGGGTTGTCATCACTGAGGAGTGGTAAGATTTAAATTTAGTAAAATATCTTTTGAAAAGAGAAACATTAAACTATGTGCACAGTCTCCTTCTGGCTGCCACAAACAGAATCTCAAAAATTAGGAGAAAGGATTTAGGTGTTGTCCAGCAAGTGTCAACACTTTCCAAGGTCAAGCAGAAACAAATCCAGAATATGTTCCTGTGTGCCAACTCTTTTGATTTTAGACTCTATCTGAAGATATCTGAGACAGATTAAAAGCACTAGTGGTGACATATGATTATATCAACATCTTTTTTTTAGTACATGGTGTGAAATGTTTGAAATTGTGAACACAAATGGCAACTATCTAACTAAATATAAAGGACTCAACTTCTACTGTTAAAAAACTTTCATGCACAGCTTCTCTTTTCTGCTCATCTAACTTGCCTGTCTTTGGAGTTTGGGATTGGCAGTATTGACATAAAGCACCCACTGGACTGCAAACCATGTTTCAAATGGAATGATGGAAATTTCATAGAATCACAGACTTGTTTAGGTTGGAAAAGACCTTTAAGACCATTGAGTCCAACTGTAAATCTAACACTGCCAAGACCACCACTAAACCATGTCCCTAAGTGCCACACCTACAAGTCTTTTGAATACTTTCAGGGATGGTGACTCAACCACTTCCCTGGGCAGCCTGTTCCAATGCTTGGCAACCCTTTCAGAGAATTATTTCCTGATATCCAATCTAAACCTCCCCTGGCACAACTTGAGGCTATTTTCTCTTGTCCTATCACTTGTTACTTTGGAGAAGAGACTGACACCCACCTCGATACAACCTCCTTTCAGGTAGTTGTAGAGAGCAATAAAGTCTCCCCCTCATCCTCCTTTCCTCCAGGCTAAACAACCCCAATTCCCTCAGCCGATCTTCACAGGACTTGAGCTCTAGACACTTGACCAGCTTTGTTGCTCTTTGGACACATTCCAGCACCCCAATGTCTTTCTTGTAGCGAGGGACCCAAAACTGAACACAGTATTCGAGATGTAGCCTCATCAGAGATGAGTACAGGGGGACAGTCACTTCCCTAGTCCTGCTGGCCACACTATTTCTGACACAAGCCAGGATGCTATTGGCCTTCTTGGCCACCTGGGCACACTGCCAGCTCATATTCAGCTAACTGTCGACCAACACCTCCAGGTCCTTTTCCACCAGACAGGCAGATTTCCAGCCACTCTTCCCCAAGCCTGTAGAATCGCATGGGGATGTTGTGACCTAAGTGCAGGACCTCACAATTGGCCTTGTTGAATCTCTCACAAGTGGCCTCGGCTCATCAATCCAGCCCATCCAGATCTTTCTGTAGAGTCTTCCTACCCTCAATCAGACCAACACTCCCACCCAACTTGGTGTTGTCTCCAAACTTACTGAGGGTTGACTCTATGCCCTCATCCAGATCACTGATAAAGATATTAAACAGAGCTGGCCCCAATACTGAGACATGGGGAACCACACTTGTGACTGGCTACCAACTGGATTTAACTCCATTCACCACAACTCTTGGGGCCCAACCATGCAGCCAGTTTTTAGTCCAGTGAAGAGTACTCCTGTCCAAGCCACGAGCCACCAGTTTCTCCAGGAGAACACTGTGGGAAATGGTGTAATTTATTAAAGTCTAGGTAGACAACATCCACAGCCTTTCCCTCATCCACTAAGTGTGTCACCTTGTCATAGAAGGAGATCAGGTTAGTCAAGCAGGACCTGCCTTTCATAAACCCACGCTGACTTGGCCAGATCACCTGGTTGTCCTGTATGTGCAGCGTGATGGCACGCAAGATGATCTGTTCCATAACCTTCCCTGGCACTGAGGTCAGACTGACAGGCCTGTAGTTCCCCAGATCTTCCTTCTGGCCCTTCTTGTAGAAGGGCATCACATTTGCTAACTTCCAGTCAACTGGGACCTCCCCAGTTAGCCAGGACTGCTGATAAATGGTTGGAAGCGTCTTGGTGAGCACTGCTGCCAGCTCCCTCAGTACCCTTGGGTGGATCCCATCTGGCCCCATAGACCTGTGTGTGTCTAAGTGATGTAGCAGGTTGCTAATCATTTCCCTTTGGACTATGGGGGCTTCATTCTGCTTTCCATCCCTGTCTTCCAGCTCAGGGGGCTGGGTACCTGGTCAACAACAAGTCTTACTATTAAAGACTGAGGCAAATGAAGCATTAAGTATCTCAGCCTTTTCTTCATCCTTTGTCATTATGCTTCTCCTCGCATCC